GAATCCCTTCACGAAGGGCCCTTCCAGAAGTCCGTTAGCGAAGGGTACATGCGATGGTCACTTCATGGAAGTCATTTCTGTTTGTGATCATGTGATCTTCAGTTAGGAGATCTAGCAAAGTTGGGGTTGATTCGACTTCACATACAAACGTAAGTAGGATAGGCTGATTACATTTTGTCATTATTTTAATGTGATACAAAATATTTTTTGTCAGTGATAGAAATATGATTTAAGACGGAAGTTTAAGCATGTTTAGTTTGAAAAAGTTTAATAGTAAATAAGACAGTGAGACAATATTTAAATAAAATCATAATAATTTGCAACAACTGATGGAGTGCTGAATGTTGCAAAAAGGGCTCTGCCCTTCGAAGGGAGTAGGACATAGGGATGCTCACTTCTGTTTGGAATTCGCCCAATTTATACATTGAGTTCTCAGATGGTATTGCTCTTACCAACATCTCAACTTGTGCTGGTCTCTGTGCGGCCCATTGTCTTTCCTGAGCTTTGGTTCTGTGAGGAAACACCAGAGCATCAGCGTTCGGCTGTGGACGTCTGGGCACTGCTGAGACAAGTCTAGCCCTCAGCTGCTCCACATCAACAGGTGCCAGAGAACCAGGTGCATTGGTGGACACAGGTAAAGACATAGCTGTTCCGAATAACTTCTGTTTGCCAGGACCTTGCTCTGGCCCTGCCTGGCTCCTGGTTGACTCCTTCTGAAAAGAGTACATGGCCAAACTGTCCTCCTATTTGTGCTCTTCCCAAAAAAGTTTCAATTCCTTCTCCTCTGAGTTTTGTCTGGACGGTAAACTCTTTAAATACATTGAAGAGAACAGCATGTTAGTGACAATCGTAGTGAACTGCCCTGTTACATCTGTAACAATACAATAAAAGGATTAACGTTAGTGTTGCTAAGCAACAAGCGGGAAGTTGTTTTGCTTATTAAACTTGTGCCAAATTATACAGCAACATTGACCAAATATTGTACTTTATATCGTAATATATTACAGGTATATCTTCAAGTGTTTTATTAAACGTTTAATAGTCCATTCGTTGTAGCAAAATAAAAGGCGCACTTACTGTCCTGCAACAGACAGCAGCAATACTTACAACGTGTTTACAAGTCCCAGAGTATGACATGCTAGTCAGGTGCAAACTAAATGAACTGCTGCCAAACATTCACGAAAAGCGACGGCTTGTTTATGATTTTTATGTCTTCTAAACTGGACAGAAGAGTAGCGGTTAAGCTCTTCTACTGAGCTGTTTGTCGTTACTTAGCAACGAAGTGTACTTCTCTCCGCTTCCGTTTCAGATGACAGCACCACAGAAGGAAAGCCGAACTCATTGCTGCAAATCGGTTCTTTTGAATGATTTATTTCAAAGAACCGACTCAGTGATTCTTGTAAATTAGAACTTAAATATACAGGCTAATTCAGTGCCATAATTCAGTACACGAACTTCCCAATAAAACTATTTGCAGACACATACTGCGGCTTGTATGTGTCCCAGACACTGATCTATAATTTTATGTAGATCAGTGGTCGCAGATCAGTTTGTACAGTAACCATGACTCAGCAGCTTATATTGAAGTTATTTAGTTAAAAACACAAAAGAAAATCTCTTAGATGAAAAAGGTTTTTGAAAATTGACAATGTTAATTAAAAAAAAAATACGCACGTTATATTGTCATAAAATGAAGTCGTGAAGATTTTATTTGTAACATTTCTGCTGTTTGGCTATTGAAGTAACTTTTTATTATATCATTCAGTCCATTGCAGGACTTGGTCCACTCTCGTATTAGCTCACTGTTCATTTTGAAAGATCCGACTCAAAAGATTCACTGATCTTTCAGGCAGTGATTAGTCAAAATAAATGATTTAAAGAAATTGCGGTCCTGGTTAGCCATCCACCACGGTCTTAACCTTAGAAAAAAAAAAAAAAGGTCCTATTGATATTGCGAGCTATATAAAGTAAATTATCATAAATCGATATCAGCTATAAAACAAAAAGTGTAAAGTATTCATCAACAGAGGTCAAGGCACAGATCACAAAGCAAACATATCTTTAATTTTTTGAACAGCTGTAAGCACCACATAGAAAAGAAAGAATAAAAGCCCAAATAAATAAAGAGATCAAGATTAAGTAAATTGTGACATGTGCTTTGCTGGACATCAGTAGCAACTTTTTTTATTATTATTATTTGGCATTTATACCATTTTAAGCTCAATGCTAATAGTGTCAGACAGTGACTAGGAATGGTGCATGACAAGACAAATCATATACAAAACAAGCATGCAGGTGAATTTAGTCTCAGCAGTGTTGGGGAGGAAATTACAGGATTACAATGCTACAGAATACAATTTGAGGCAAGAAAAACCTCTGAAATATAACAGAAAAAACTTCTAATTTAGAAAAACATTCTTGTCCCTGACATATGAGACCACAGTATTTCTGTCTTTCAGACTTTTAAAAATCATGATCTCACTGATGTACAATCTTCAAACCCATTTAAAACAGCCCCTCTCCATTCCTCCATTAGTTGGCTTTACTGCGTGTTTCTGAGTTCCTGGTGAAGGTTCGAGGGCTAATATGGGCAATATAATCCGTCTGAAACCGAGAGTTTGGTGTGCGTCGCCGTTTCCTTTCACCTTGTGTGGTGAAGAACGCATCCTGGAAACGCATGCTGGATGCTGTGGACTGCAAAGCACACATTTACAATTACACACATATACAATACATTCAAAAGAATTGTGTTCCACAGACAGTCTTAAACGGGTGGTTCACTGGTTTTTTTCTAGGCTTGATTGTGTTTATGGGGTGCAGTCTAACATGTGTTAATGCTTCGTTTAAAAAATAAATGTAATTTACCTTTATTCCACACCGCTCTGTCCCTTCTCTGAGAAACGCACTGATCATTTCCTGCTTTTATGAAGCCCCGCCCTCAGAAATAGGCGATGGGCTCTGATTGGTTGGCTAGCCCAGTGTGTTGTGATTGGCTAAACCGCCTCTAGTGCACGTCTGAACGTCCCGCCCCTCACCTCAGCGGCATGTGCTCCGGTTGTATTGTAAACAATGGCATTGTTAATATCGCTTATCAGTTTGAGCCCAATTGAGAAACAGAGGCTATTATTGAAGAGGATCGTGCAGAACCTGTGCAAGCACGGCTTTTAATGGTTGGCCAATGTTTTTTGTTTGTTGTTGTCTCATACTTTTAGATATGCTGTTATTTGTAAATGCTATTGCTTATGTTAGATTTTAATATACGGTTTTATCCTGATTAATGGGATAGTTCACCCAAAAATGAAAATTCTGTCATCATTTACTCACCCTCATGTCGTTCCAAACCTGTATGAGTTGCTTTCTTATGTTGAACATAAAAGAAGATATTTTGAAGATTGCTGGTAATCAAACAGTTGTTGGTTGCCATTGACTTCCATAGTATTTTTTTTCCTACTATGGAAGTCAATGGCAACCACCAACTGTTTGATTACCAGCAAACTTCAAAATATCTTCTTTTGTGTTCAACATAAGAAAGCAACTCATACAGGTTTGGAACGACATGAGGGTGAGTAAATGATGACAGAATTTTCATTTTTGGGTGAACTATCCCTTTAAAGCTTTAATACAGTACAGCATCTGCACACGCGTCCATGTTTAACGCTTCTCCTAGCTATGTGAAAATAAGTGTATAATTGGAACAGTTCATTGTTGGAGCTGAGCTGAATGAGAGAGACAGAGAGATGCAGAGCGTGTGCAGAGCAGGGGAACGTGAGGAACAGTATTAAGAACTGCTGCTTTAGAACATTGATTTTGAAACTTGTGAATCTATTAGAATCATTAGAAGACAGAATCGTGATTCATATATGAATAGGTGTTTACGTGCACCTCTAGTTTTCTCTTCCTCTTCTCTAAAGCAGCGCAGCATGGCCTCGCCCCCTTTGCTGCCTTTTCCTGAGGGCGGGGTTTATCTGGGTTTGTGATGCCACGAACCCGGGAAGTAACTTGTTGTAGGCATAAAACTGCCAGAATTGTAAAAGACTTGAACTTTCAGCTTCGTAACTTTGCAGATATTGTTTATGCTCAAACAGCAACATTACACACTAACTAACATTAAAAAAGTGAAATCGCAATCAACCACCCCTTTAATTGTTTGGAATGATGTAAGAGTGAGCAAATGAGGACAGAGCTTTAATTTTTGGGTGAACTAGCCTTTTAAAGAAAGTTCAGTGAGTGAGAACTCACCAAACGACCTTTGACTTTTTTGGGCAGGTCTTCATCCAGCATGTAAATGTCCTCTCTCTTCGCCAATACCTGAGATCCATCTTCAAATTCCACCTACAAACAAGAACATAGGACAAACCATGAACAGTTATTACTGTAGCAGTAGAGCAGCAGTACTTGAGAGAATATGACTATGAGTGTGTGTACCTGATACATATATGAAGTATTAGAGCCAAGATACTTGGCTCCATAAAAAAGTCCATCAGGCCACTTCACCTGAACAGCCTCCCCCACTTCAGGAGGCCCAAGCTGGGCACAATCTCTGCTCTGCAGGGCAAAAAGAGAACAGACTTTACTCTGATGTCAGGATGCCAAACTAAAAACATTATGCTTATATTGTATGTACTGTACAAATGCATGAGAAAATATGTAGGCCTGCACTTTTTGTGAAAAATAAGAGGCTGTCAACTTTGTAAGCATATCAGTCCCGGCGCCAGGACTCATGGCCAGGGGGGGCTTGAAATAATTCTCGGGGGGCTTATTCTGACTGTCAAATGTGTGCAAGTTAATGTGTTTGTTGTTTAAAAAAAACGTTATAATGCTCATTAAGGGAATCGGATCTTTGGATTACCATAATGAAAATTCACCCATTTCTCCCGAAATACCTAAAAGTCAGTCACCGTTGAACTAGGAGAAGATTAAAGTGAACTTTTTAGTTACCTACACAACGTTTATGTGAATAAAACACATAGTTTTTAGCCAATCACAACACACTGGGCTAGCTAACCAATCAGAGCCCATCGCCTACTTCTGAGGGCGGGGCTTCATAAAAACAGGAAAAGACTTTAATCTAGCTTGCGCCAACAGTTGTACATGGAAGCAGTTCCGGGCTGATGACGTATGAGGTCAGCGTTGCGCATGCGCCGGAGTATCTCGTGAAAATGTTTGTTTACAGGATCAAAGGAAGCAAAGTTTCCTTACTTTAGCAAAGGAAACCCAGTCTCCTCTTGGCTTATATCGAAATCCTCTGACATTCTTCTTTACAAATCCTCGTTTTGTACTTCTAATTAGTGACCGTTGTTTTGTTCTGATCTCTCCCCTGTGCTTCCGTGTGCGTCACTTCTGAGCGGCGCATGCACAACGCCGACCTCATACGTCATCCGCCCGGAACTGCTTCCGTTTACAACAGTAAGCGCAAGCTAGGTTGCTGATTATTAAGTTTTGAATATGGATATTTTTCTTACAAAAACGCATCGATTCGCTACAGGAGGCCTTTGTTCAACCCCTGGAGCCGTGTGAGACATTTTTTTTATGGATGGGCGCTTTTTATTTCACTTTTTTGGACTGATGCACTGCAACACCCGCTGACGGCAATGATAGAGCTTGAAAGATCAAAGACAATTTTTGGTAACACTTTCTATGAAGCCCATATTTATAATACATTATAAAAGGCATTATAATGAATGCATAATGCATTATAAAAAAAACTTATAATATGTTATATCAACTCATGAATAATCATAACAACAATTATAATACATCATAATACTTACATATTTGTGGTTATAAGTTTAAGAGTATGTTTATTTATAACACCCAATGAACACCATCTACTTAATTTACAGTATAATGGACTGCATCATATCTTGATATTGTTTATTTAAGATCTGCACAGTATCTTAGTACAGCTTGTGAGTGGTTAGATGTTGAGTGTTATTTGAGTGTTTCCTGTGGAGCTAATGTTAATTAATTGATGTGAGCTTAATACTCCAACTGAAAAAAATGCAATGTTTTATATGGTTACATTTTATTTTGATGGTCCCCTTAATCAATCGACTATAAGCAACTTTGCAACTACATGCCAACTAACTCTCATTAGAGTATTAGTATGCTCAAGAATGGTATAATCTAGTATGGTAGAGTAAGTTGACGTACTTGCAGACACTTATAATCAGTTTCTGTTGGTTGACCATCAAAATAAAGTGTTAGCATATATTTACAGTAGCAGACATACTAATACTCTAATGGCCGCTAGTTGATATGTAGTTGCAGAGTCACTTATCAACAGCTGTTTAAAGGGTACCATCAAAATAATCAAACAATTGATATTACAATAAAAATAGTTCAAAGCAAATGTGTCAGATTCCACATTCATCTGATCTGATTTTATGGCTGTTTGAGAGAAATTTGGATTATTATTATTATTATTATTACTACTTATAAGTGGTCTTTGACCGCTTTAAGTAAAGTAGCATAAGAAAAATGGCAAGATATGAGACTTATAATACATTATAACTATGAGAAATATAATCCATTGTGAAAAGTGGATGCAACGTGTTCATTGTGTTAAAATCATCATACTCTTAAAAGCTATAACCACAAATAAGTAAATAATTATAATATATTAAAACTGTTCTTATGAATATTCATGAGATGATACAAATTATAAGGTTTTATATAATGCATTATGCATTCATTATAATGCCTTATTTAGCTCGCTGAAAACATGCCACAAGATATTCATTGGAACAACTAATGGCTAGCAGCATTAGAAACACTCACCACAATGTCTTCAGGGAATGTATCATTGCTGAATGAGCCATCATCAAACATAACCTCATAGAATGTTTGGGCCATGACCTGGGTAACACGTGAGCTGTAGTAACGAAGATTTTTGTGTTTGGAGATCACCGTCTGGCCCACTTCTAATTCACTTTTGCTAACTTTCACTTTCTGGGGGAGAAGAAAAAAATTCTTGATGATGGGCCAATTATGTGTTATTTTCTCTGTCTGTTTTTTAATTAATTAAAAAAAATTAAAGGCAATTCATATAGACAATGACATGAATATGCCTCTTCAAAGTTTTGATTTTTTGAAAGTCAAAGTAGTTGTGAAAAGTAGTATAATTAGTTTGACAATTTTTTTGTAATCATGTCTTTAAAATATGGATAACTATAATGTAAGTCAGTTTGATGCATGACAAGGCCACCATAAAACAGAAATGTATATCAAAGTCAGGACCCTGTAGAATCCCATGAATGTAGTGTATGTCAAGGTCAGTAAGTGAATTTATGAGACGAGTATTTTAAAAATCTATTCAGTCGGCGCCGATAGCCTTGTGGGCAGCGCGCCAACATACAGCGCTGTTGACCTACAGGCATCCCGAGTTCGAATCCTGACTCAAGGACCTTTCCCGATCCCGCCCCTTATCTCTCTCCCACTTCACTTCCTGTCAGTTTTGATCTGTCCTATCGTAATAAAAGCAAAAATGCCAAAAATAAAAAAAATTATATTCAGTGTATATGGTATGGTCTTCTTGTTTTTAGTGTGCTGGTTAAACACAACTTATTAAAATATACTCACAGCACTGGAGCTCCGTGACTGGTGCCTGTGACAGGTGATGAAAACCACATACGGCCAATCATCAGGCTCCATGGGGACTCCAGCTGCATGTGCACAAGTGACATGGAAAGAGGTTGGGCAACGACCACATGAGCACTGAATACATGCTCCGGACAGCTTCTTTATCCTGTTACGGCAATATATACACTTCTACAGAGAGAGAAAGAGAGAGAATGATAGAGTGCACAGATGACAACAAAAATGTCCATACTTTGTGGAAACAGCAGTGTAGGCAACATTCATTTTAGTTTTAGTACATCACTGGTGCGTCAAAAGACGTTAAATTGCTCAGCTTTGATGGGCTGTTAAAGGGGTCCTATTATGCTTTTTCACTTTTTCAACTTTAGTTAGTCTGTAATGTTGCTGTTTGAGCATAAAAAAGATCTGCAAAGTTACAAAGCTCAAAGTCCAATTCAAAAGGAGATATTTTATGTAACAGAAATCACTTTTCAAAAACTACAGCGAACGACTCGTTTGGACTACAGCGCATGTTTTCCGGGATTTGTGATATCACAAATACCGACGAATGGGACGAGACCTGGTTGAGCTGCACTAGAGAAGGCAACGAGTGTTATCATCACTATGTCGGAGACGCGCTAGCTTTCTGAAGGCAGACGAATTTAGAGTGGTTACAATCATCCGGGTTTAAATCGCGCTCAAATTGATTTGATTTTGACGCAATATTTACACTGAAGCTTGCAGGTGGCTATGGTAAGGGGTATGACATTTCCCGACCAGGCGCCGCGTGCTGCCAATCACAACACATTTCATATTTCAGAAGGCGGGGCTTCATTTGATACAGGAACTACTCGGGCCATTCATTCCAGACTGGAGAGAGAGGTGTTGTAATAATGTACAATATGTGAAAAAATAATGTGTTTTTCGAACAACCTAGTATGAGAGCCTGTTCTAGTACACCCCCAAAACAAAAACACGTGCTGCCAATCACAGCACATTTCATATTTCAGAAGGCGGGGCTTCATTTGATACAGGAACTACTCGAGCCATTCATTCCAGACTGGAGAGAGAGGTGTTGTAATAATGTACAATATGTGAAAAAATAATGTGTTTTTCGAACAACCTAGTATGAGAGCCTGTTCTAGTACACCCCCAAAACAAAATCAAGACTTTGTAAAAAGAGCATAATAGGACCCCTTTAAGATTTTGCACTTGTTTTGCAATTTCTACTGTCTATAAATGTGTGTGTTTATAACTCACCAGTTTATATCTCTGTACAGGTATGGCACTGATGTCAATAGGAGCTCTCTTCGCCACATCAATGAACTTCACCTCAGGGAGACCCACAGCACACATCACATGGACCCATCTATAGCATGTATAATTCATGAGACACCTGATGCATTCAATAACATCTAAGAACACTAGCCTGACAGAACTCCTATTTGCTTATAATCTGAAATACCAGAAAATGTTTTAAAAAAAACATACTTGGTCTTCTGCTCTGTTTTGTATTTAATACAATACTATATTAGTATTAATGGATCTGAATAATGGAGATTACCTGTCATCTGAGGTTCTTTTTAATGCACCTCCCCTCAGGTTACACAAACAGCATCCCTAGTATAGAACAGACACACACACAAGCAGAAACAAAGTTTTATTTATAAAAAAAAAAAAAAAGGTAAGCAAAATTGTAAGTAGACCATAAATGATAGTGATACGGAATGACTGAATTATTACATACAGCTGCCAGGTCTCCGCTCACACATCTGTCACATGTCCACACTGGGCTGACATCATGAGCAGCAACACCATAGCAACCTGTGGACCAATCAAAACAAACTATTACATTCTGTACTATGCCAAGCTATGCTTGTGTGTGTGTGTTTACTTAAGATGGTAATTATTGAATGTGTACAACACTTCTTGAACACATATACCAAAGAATGCTTTATAAAATGTGTGAAATCATGAAATTATTTGCACTCATTTTATTCTATTAAAAGGCCAATTTTCAAACCCTTTTGGAACTAAATGTAATGGGAAATGCATGACACAAAAAATTTAATAAAAATGTTTTCCTTCCACGTTATACATCTAACATCAGTCTAAAATTGAGTGGAAAAAGATAACTCTTGAGATTTTCAGATAATATTATAATGATCTGCTTTAGTACAATGGAAATATAGAAGCCAATTACTTAATTTAGCAACAGCATGTTGCCTTAATAATCATCTAAATCAAATGTAAAAAATGTAAATGAATGATTAATATTTTTATCTTATATCATAAATGGGTCTTCACACATGAAAATAATACTTCATAAGAAAACATATTTAACTTATGCATTTAATACATTTTATACACTAGCATTTAAATGTTTTGAGTCCGTAAGTTTTTTAAAAATAAATTAATACCTTTATTCAGCAAGCATACATTAAATTAATCAAAAGTGACAGTTAAGACTTACATAGTTACAAAATATTTATATTTTAAATAAATGCTGTTCTTTTAAACGTTCTATTCATCAAAGAATCCTAAAAAATAATCACCACAAAAAGATTAACTGTTTTCAATATTTATAATAATAAAAAATGTTTCTTGAGCACCAATCATCATATTAGAATGATTTCTGAAGTCTCATGTGACACTGAAAACTCAAGTTTTTGCCATCACAATAACAAATTACATTTAAAAATATATTCAAATAGAAAACAGTTATTTAAAACTATAATAATATTTCACAATATTACTAGGTTCATTATATTTGGGGATTTTTCATGTGTTGAGTTTGTTGTTGAATGATCTCAGGGACGTACTGGCATGAACTTGAACACAGCAACTATTACAGGCCACAAGTGGACTGGATCCATCCTCCTCCAGCAGTGTGTTCAAGGGACATGGGCCCTCCTGGCACGCAAAGCAAATTTCAGGGATCAGAGGTCGTGACCTCAAGCCCGCCTCCTGTGAACATGACCCCTGAGACTCTGTGGCAGCACTCATCAAGACATCGTGCCTTCTCTCCTCTAAATTATCAGGCTGTGAGAGCAAAAACAAGAGATTGAAATATCTGTGTGATACAAAGCACAAATATGCAAACCAGTACATAGTATCTCTATACAAACGTTACCTGATAGTATGGCATGAAAAGGGTGCAGACAGCACAGTGTGGAGAGGTTTCAGCTGCAGTTGTGTTGTACTCTCGTTCATACTGAAAATGAGTTTTTCGGTGTTGCCACAGATGCACTAAAGGCTTTGCCCATTCCTCAGTTTCTGGCTCCTCTTCTTTAGATGCACAGTCCTCTAAAGTCTCTGAGATGTTAATTTAGTATAATTAATTATATAACTTCACACAGCTTCTTAAAGTATACATGTGTGCATGATGTGAGACAAAAATGTCAGTGCACATATACATAATGAATAATTAAAAATACCATAGACGGAATGCAACAATGTAATATTAGTGCAATTTTGTCTAATGACAGCATGTGGTAAAGATAAATATTCAGGAGTCAGGAAAGATTTGTAATGTAATAAAACATAATATGTTATTAATAAAAGTACTAACACAACAATTGTTCAAATTCCTATTGTTTATTGCTCATAATAAAAATGAAAGTGGTTAAACATTCACCATCATCACTGGCAGCCTGCTGTTTCACAGCACTTGGCACTGCTCGTGCAGTGGGTTTTCTGAGGGGGTGACGCCAACTCTTGGATGTCTTCTTAACAGTTTGCATGTGATACTGAGAGAACAAAAAAGAGAAAGAGGCAAAGGGGGTCAGTGAGAAAGAGACACTTTCCAAAAAATATAAAATACTGTGCTACCTTCATTGTGCATGTGTGTATATAGTATGTGCACATTAATTAATTCTTTGACGCCGTTTACAAGGTGTTAAGGTGTGAAAAGCAACTAAGTAAGTGAGTGTTCTGATGTATGTGTACAGAAATTTTCACTGGATTCACAGCAGGTGTAAATTAATATAAACGTTTGTGGTCAGTTAGATTTTAATACTTTTAATGAACATTTTTATTCAGCAAGGATGCATTAAAGTCACAGTAAAGACTCACAGTAAATATATATATATAAAACAAATAATAAAATATACATAAAAATATCTAAAAAAAAAAATAATTAATTTAAAAAACATTAAATTAAAAACCCCACCAGTGTCTGTGCTTCTCATTTGTATGCGAAATTTAGTTTAGGTTTAGTTAATCTAAAAGAGAAAATGACAAGGCAAATCAAAATCCAATCAGAGCACATCTATTATTAAACATGCAGGTAAAATTTTGGACCATTGAGATTTTACTGTGAGCAGGTTCATCCTGTAGGTTATGAAAAAAGTTGAAACCAAGCAATCTGCAAAATGTCTTGTCACCACGGTCACTGTTTGTTAGGTCAGAATCTCAGAACTATGTAGTAGAGAGGACGTATTTCTCGTCATGGTATAGCACCAGAACTCACTGTACAGACTTCCCCTGGCTCCAGATCCGTCTCCACATACTCAGGGTCACTCGTGGCGTTCTCCTCACTGGATTCACTGCTGCTGTCAGCACCTTTATCTCCTGATTCACACGAATCAGAGTCGCTCACAGACCCATCATGGTCTGACTTTGCACCTTCGTAATACTCCTGACTTTTAAACTTTTCCTCCTGAGGTTCCTGAGAGCCTGCCTGCTCACTGAGCACACAAGCTTCAGCTGGTTCCAACTCCACGTTCTGCTGCTTCAGATCAGGAGGTGCGTTTGGAGCCATGTCTGCATCAGAGCACTGCATGGGAATGGGCTCCAGGTTGGTCCAAGTCTGAGTGCATGGTGAAGAGTTTGGAGAATCAGGGAACTTTTCTTGTTGGCAACCTGATTCGGACCACATGGTGTAGGGCAGCGAGTCATGGGCATAATCTGTAAGACTGCTCACACCTGTGGTAAGACCAACTACCAGCTCAGGCTGCAAGCTCTCAATGAGCACTGCGGGATTCTGGGAGCTGAGGTTTTTCCAAATGGTGAAGGGTTTGGACTCCACGTAGGGGCCCTGGGAGCATGTGAGAGAGATTGACTGCTCTTCGAGACTCGGAGAACTTTGTTTGTCTCCACTGGCCATTTCAGAGTCATAGGTGTCCATTAAATCCACATCTGCTACGGTAGAACATTGTAAAATACTCTGAGTAGTGATTTTAAACTGTGAAATGGACTCATTTTGAGTGTTCTGGTCTGCGGATGGGACGTGTTCATGTCCTGGTTTTGCTCTAAAGGTGTCTGAGATTGAGTTTTGTGATTGGCTTACACCTTCTTGGAGTGCAACAAAGGGCCAATCGAGACAAGGTCTTTCAGAATAAGTCCCCACATCATCTGTTATAACAGGAGGCGAGTGTGATTTTTCCAGATGGAGAACAGGTGCATTATTGTTCGGAGTGTGAGGTCTGTGATTTGTGGTGTCAGGTCGGACAGCGAGAGTCAGCGAGGGCATTTCAGGTGCGAGAGATTGAGGATTGACTCGCTCTTCTATGAGCTCGGGCATTAGAAGAGGCATTTCACAAAACAAAGTATTCTGGATTTCAGAGTTTGTTCTGTTTTCTGAGGTTTCCAAACCCTGAAGAGCAGAGTCTAGACGGATCGAGCTTTGCTCTTTGTAAAGTGCTGATGTGCCGTAATCGATGCTGCTCTCAGTCAAGATATCGGCGACCGTCTCCTCGGTTTCAATTTTAGCTTGTTGGGAATCAGTTTCTGAAAATAAAACCGCAGCACCAGTGGAATTAAGTCTCGGTGAATGGGTCACAGGAATAGAAGGAGCACTTGTTACTGAGACAGGTTCACAGTTTAATGCTTGATTAGGACTTTCAGCAGTTCTTTCTGAGTCCAGAGTCACATTCACAGTGACGCTGCTGTCTGAGGTTGATTCAGGTCCAGGCTGTGCAGCGGAGTTTGAGTTTGTGGATACTCGACCTTCATCAAAAATAAAAGATGTCTCGGAGCTTGTGTGACCTAGATCATGGTCACTCTGCCTGGATGTGGGGGTGAGTGTAGGGGTCGAGAGTTGCTCAGAGGAATCATCTTGTCTGGTGGAGTGGGCCAGCAAGTCATTCTCCACTCTTGTTACTTTCACAACGCACATTTGTCGACATGGACCAGTGAGCCCTAAAAAAAAGACAAAACAATAAAACAGAGACATAAACAGACATGTAGTTATAGCATACACTACGGTTCCATGCGTATGCTCACTAAGGATACATAATCAAAACTACTGTAAAAACAGTAATATTGTGAAATATTATTACAAATTAAAATAACAGTTTCCCTATTTAATATACTTTTCAATGTTATTCATTCCAGTGATGGCAAAGCTGAATTTTTAACAGCCTTAAATCATTCTAATATGCCAAAACATTTCTTATTATTGTCAATGTTGAAAACATTTGTGCTGCTGCTTATTATTTTTGTGGAATCAGTGGATTCATATTTTGTGGATGCATTTTTCAGGACTCTTTGCTGAATATAAAGTTTAAAAGAACAGAATGTATTTTAAATATAAACCTTTTGTCAAATTATATGTGTCACTTTTGATAAATTGGTAACACAATAAGGTGTCATTCATTAATTAACATGAACGAACACTGAACACTTTATTACACTCTTTATTAATCTTTGTTAATGTTAGTTAATAAAAATACAGTCGTACATTCATTGTTCATGTTAGTTCACAGTGCATTAACTTGTTAACATGTTAAACAAACCTTGTTATTTTAATAATTCATTAGTAAATGATGAAATTAACTAAGATTAATAAATGCTATAGAAATGTTCATTCTTAGTTCATGTTAACTAATGTAGTTAACTAAAGTTAACTAATGAACCTTATTGTAAAATGTTTCCAATGTAATCTATTTATTCTAAATTGTTCTATTATTTTCTACATTTAATCTATTTATTAATCTATTTAGTCACTGCTAAATAAATAATTAATTTCCTTAAAAATATATCATACCGATCCCAACGGTAGTGTGCATTTAAATTTCATTTATTCAGATCATTTTTTATTATTTTGGAATTTTTCTGACAGACTACAAGTTTTCATTTGGATTTGACAAAAATGCTATGTTGTGATGAACTAGGACTTACTTAAAAACAAAATGCAGTCTTATACAGATACACAAACGATGTCTGTCCTTAATGTGAGTGTGTTATCAGATCACATCAGATTATATTTGAAAATTAATAACACACAAAATAAATATGAAAATGCATTTACATTGTATGCATTTATAGAATGTATTGTGAGCTTACACAAATAATACCAATACCAGCCTTTTAATTCACCTAAGTACTGCGATTCTTTCTGGTGTTTCACTGAGTCTTCATTATCCTCATTTTTCGATGTTAACTCTGCCCCTCTACTCCTGCGACCACCCCCCTTCACTGGTGCAGAGTCCACAGTCTTCAGTCGTTTGGAGCATGCACGTGGACAATGGAGACTGTTGATACAAAAAGATGAATCATCCACTATCCAAGACTGTGAAATGAACCTGCTAGCAAACAGCATTTTTGTTTCAAATAATATCTATAGTGATTGACCTCTACATGAAAGATGTTTTTAAGAATTCTAATTTGGATATTTGGCATCATATGGCTCTATGTTTTCTACCTATAATGTTAAGGTCTGATAATTTTTTTGTAAAGTGTTTTTAATAGTGTGCTCAAGTACTCAAAATCATACTGGCAACATTTACATTTTAAGTTCAAATTTTAAATTTTTTTATTTTATTTCAACTTTCTTTCAATTAACAAAAATGATTTATAATATTTTAGTTAACAATAACTATACTAAAGTAGATGGAAGAGTGGAAGGGTCTTAAGCAGACTTGTAATCCAAGTTGCTCAGCAAATGTCTCTTCAAACTATTGTTCTGAAAGCAGTTGACCTGAAAAGGGAAGCTGACTATAGAAGGTATACCTTGTTGAAACCCTGCTAATACCTTGAGGTGGAGGGTGCTTTCCTGCGACGCCTCTGAAGCCAGCTCTGCAGCTCCGGTGTGGTGCTGGGTGTGGCCAAGATGTGATCCAATGGACATGAGTCTTTGCCTTGTGTCCAAGCCTGATAGCGATCTGGCTGGAATCGTCTAACAAATGGATCCATGGAGATCTTTACCATGTCCTTACTGCATGTACACTGCAAGAAGACAGGTTTTTCACACAAAAAAAAAAGAGCATCAAATGTTCACCAGTTGCAAACGAAGGTAACATGAAGGTGCCAGATTTACATCAGCAATAGCTGTAATTAAGTGCTTCTTAGTACCTGCGTAGCAACTTTTCCATAATCGATCCACCGGATACTGGCGAAATTGGTGGATTCAGCACAGTTGTAGCCGTGGTTGAAGCCAGCGTGGTAACCATAGGGAAACGTGATCATAAACTCCCCCGCTTCCTGTGTTATCTGTAATAATATATCAGTGTATTGTGAATACATAAGAGAAGAAATGAGACACCACGACATTATTCTTAAAACTAAAATAGTTTAGAAAATGTATTCCAAAGACTGTGGATTGCCTTATCAAATGGTATGCTGTATTTCTTTAGTACAGACGGGGATATCAGTGTCATCTTGTGTCTCAGGAACGCCTCACAGCTTTTAAAGCTGTTAGGAAAGAAACCTAAAGACAAAGACACATTTATCACACCCAGTACAACACAAAGGAAATAATTATATCTAGGTTAGCTAGATACATCCATACACCCTTTTTTTCTGGACATGTCCTGTCCAGGATTTCTAAATGGCCTAAAATGTCTAGGTTTATGACTTGTTTTGCTATTGATGTGCTCTACCGTTCTCATACATTATATGCATGCGAATTTGCATTGCTTTGACCGGTTTTTTGTAGACCCCACCTTCTTGCACAGTATGATTGGTTTATCATGTAGAATGCCTGCACGCTTTTGGTCAAACTAATTTTGAGTTGTTACTTTCAAGAAGTATGAAAAAAATAGGAAAACAAAGCCAAAAACCTGGACATTTTACTGTATGGTCAACCTAGATATACTGTATGCAAGTATATCTATCTTTAGCAAGTATGCAAGCAAAAAAAAATAATAATTATATATATATATATATATATATATATACACATATATATACACATTATGTTAGACTAGTTTAAGTTTTTATGTAGTTAATAAAACCTTACTTGTATCACACTTGGCGTGTTCATTGTTTACTCATAACCGGAGTCAATAATCATGCAGATTTACGTTACAAACTTATAGAATTGTACAGTAAGAAAGTTATTTCCTTTAACCAGGAAATTAACGTTCTTAGAATTGACAAGACGGTTGACCCTGAGTGGTCAGCTAAATATCTACAGTGGATCTAAAATATGAATAGTTAATTATAACTAGTTATGGTTAATTATTCATATTTCCTGTCGTTGAGCTAAATTCGCTACAACATACATATACACATACACATACATATATATATATACACACATACATACATATACATATATATACATATATATATATACACATACACATACATATACACATACACATACACATACACATACATATATATATATATACACACATACATACATATACATATATATATATACACACATACATATACATATACATATATA